TGTTGCTACTCTGTCCATTGAAAGGTTCATACGCACCAGGTTAAAATCGAAAATGCTTCCGGCGTTCTCCCATCTGACTTCTCTGAGATGTAGGAAAGAAGTCCGGTCGACCACCACCTGTATATTCTCGCCTACCAGATCAGCTCGATATATACGGACATCAGCAACACCAGTTGGCGTCAAGAAAACAAACGCATTCTTCACTGTGAATAAGTTCTAAACAGATATGCTTTCAACTGGACTTACATCTTCGATGCTTTTATAACTGTTGTTGTACACAAACGCTTACTATTTATACTATTAATATGGTTTGGCTTTGTTTTCTTTCCAAAGGTACCGTTTCAAGTGCCCTTGATTTCTAGAAAGTACAGGCGGAGATAAAGAAAGAATCAGAGAAGGAAATTGGATTGGAAGAAGTGGACGAAGACGATCCTAGCAACCCATTGTTACGAATAGAACGGTTAGAGCGAACAGCAATGCTTATTTGGAAGAAAATGAAAAACCTGTCGCCGAAATTTGCTTCTACCGGCAGACATGACGTCGAACAGAAGACCGCGTACAATGACAGCGGCTACTCCGTGATCGACCAGAAGATAACGAAGTTGATCTCAGGTCCTGCGAGGGACAGCAAGTATTCGCATGCGACCAACAGCCGGGTGCTGCACCCTTCGGTCAAATTCGCCATGCCGTCCTTTCACGAGGTGCTGGACGTGGTTCACGCGGAAAATGCGGCTCAGTCTCTCGGAATCGAAGATGAAAAACAGCTAGGTACGTCGCAAATTTTTTTTTGTTTTTTGTGCTTGAGCCATAGTTTGCTTTTAGCCCAGAAAATTCATCGCGACGTGGGCCTGAGGCTCAAGTATAAAGATGTTATGGATCGCAGATTGTTCATGGCCGATTTGGTGAGAGGTAAGTTTAACTCGGTTTTCGAGGTTTGTTAACTAAAACCAAAAATACTCTGCATGTTTTGACAAGAATGGAAAACTACTTTTTAATACTTTACTCTTTTCCATCCAGTTCTAATAAAAATGATTTTTTCCTGCGTTATATCAGTATTGAGAACCAACACAGACGTCTTTCGACGCAACGCAGATAACGAATTTGTAGAATGACCGACCATTGCGATGTTTTGTCGGGTGGCATTTCAGTGACCTGGGAAAATAGCTTTTTGCTGCAGTAGTTTTAATCCGCTGAGTTTACTCCGAAAGCAAGGCAAGTTCTCTTTCGTGGTACTCCTTTCACAGCTTATTGGGGATATGCTTATCCAGTATGTGCAGGTTCACGCCCTTCATGAAGGTTGTCATTGTTTCAGAAACTGTGGAACAAGAATCGACCATTGCTGGACCGGAAAGATTTTAGAGTTGGTTCAAAAGGAGATTATCGGACCTGATTGATGATGGATGAGCTAAAGACGTTCGCTAGATCAAGATCGATAAAAATCACAGAAAATAGTTTGTAACAAAGTCTGGAGGATTCTTTCGTCCATTAATGGATCGATAAAGGCTTATGGTGACGATGGAATTTGGAGAATCTTAGACACAGGTGTAGTTCATGATCACGGCCTGATTTTCAAAGTGTTTTATAAAAATTTATGTAATGATATCGAAAAGCTTTACCTGTACGCACCAGTGGGAAAATTTTGAATGAAGATGAAGATTAAGGGAAAATTTTTATTTCTTTAAAATTATGCCACTAAAGTAGAGATTATCACATTCGTATATGCCATGCAAATGGTTTGTTTTGTATATTAGTTTAATTGCATAACACAATTTTTTCAAGGTAGGAGCTTACTAAATTTTTAAAGGTCTTGCTTGTCATCTGTGTTTAATAATATTAAACCTCGTTTTATGCTGTTTTTCACTATTTATTCTGGCACTCAGGGCAGATGTAATTTAGGCAGCGCTTAGCTCCGCAGTATGCGCTCTATGACAAAAAGATGCAGTTAGTATCACCCAGCACCCACCGTAGAAATGTTTAACCGGAGGTTGTGCTTTGCGGAGTTAAACGGAAAGTTAAGTGAACCACATATTGTCATATAAGTTAGCCAAGATATACTTCATCGTCGTGATCAGTCACGGTTAATCAGCATTGAAACTGTTCCCTATCTAGCTATCGCCGTATCATACTGCAATGACTATTCCTCCACTCTCCTCTCGTCAAAGCAGGGGAATGAATTTGACAGTGCTTTTAAAAAGGCGCTTCATTCACACTCTAATGAGAAACGGTTCTTACTGGATCATAGCCAAATTTTTTGTCGTTGTATTCCTGTTTAGGTGTTGAGTTCATGACTCTGGAAATACGGGATCATAACCGATTTACGCACCAGTAACTCCTTTATGTGCTTTGTGTTAGCCATGTAATGCCACGAGTCGGTACACAGTTGGAGTTTTCAGCCATTGATGATGCTGATTCTTTGATGAATAGGGCCATCTGCCTGGACAGTATTACATAATTCTGCTTTTTAAAATCATTTTGCATTCAGTTAATGCAGGTTATTGATTAATTAGGTCTTTTGGAATATTTACGCGCTTATTTCTTTTGTACATGTAATTACTAGCTTGATTTAGGTGTGTATGGATCTGATATAGAAGATGATAACAGTTTGAACAACAGCGCTGACGATGAATCTGAAAGGCCGTGCTGTTCTAAAGTTTTGTGTGCCTCAGAGAAATTCGTGAAATCGGTAGCGCGAGATGTAGAAAGCTGCGTAGCCAGTGCGTTTGACACAGTCACGAACAAAGAATCTGAAGAGTCCATTTCTTCGACAAGTAAATCGACCATAGCTGCAGGTTTAACTAAAGTAAAAGAGGAAGTAGAAGAAACCAAAGAGGCCGATACAACGTCACATGCTCAGTCGACTGAATCACCTGTTGTGGATACATTGAACCTGAAGGAATCGATGGAATGTGACACGACAACGTCGTCGCCTTCTTCTGTCCCTTTGGCCACTGTAGAACACCAGCCGTTGGAGGAAACTGTTTCTAAAAGGCTGATCGAAAATTATGGTGGTTTCATTAAAATGCCGAAATTGGAGCCGGTAGTTTCGGTTGTGCCGTCGTCCCCTGCAGTCGTTAGGAGGCAGACTATGTCATCATTTAGCAGCTCTGCAGAAAGCAACCTCAATACGCATCATTCGTTTCATATCGCCCCAGAAAGATGGACGAATCATGTACCTCATCCTCCACCTAAATTGAACTCCTTGGTAAGGAAATTCATATATTTTAATGAACCTTGAGAATATGAACAGTCGTGTCATATATTCAGTTCAGATGGTGTTGGAGCGAATGGAATTAAGAGTTGGAGTTAAAGTTTTCTGCCTAATTTGCTTGCCTTCTT